TTCTATGCTTGACATGTGTTCAACCTGGGTGCCATTCACTTGAAAGGATTGGTACTACATATGAAGACCTCTGAAATGATTTGCTTACATGAGCAAAGTATATTATTTGATTTCCACTGCCTTTCAAACATTGCCTATGCGACACAATACAATTCTATATAACAATATACAAAAAAATAATGAATGCAGTTATGTATTTATAAAAAATATGAAATGTATTTTAAAATCAAACTAGTATAAATACTTGAATTTGTTTTTATTTTAGCATCTTGTGATCCTCTGTACAACAGCACTGGGACTGGGAGAGGGAAGGGCAGATCTTAGAGCATATCATATGTCCTGCATGTAAATATGCTGAATTGGGACATTGGGGCAGGGAATTAACTGAACTGCAATAAAGAAAAATCAGATAATCAGAATGATTGTGCTGTCTAGCGAGGCTGTATAAATCTTAGAACCGAATGAGCTGAAATACAAATCATTTGGCAAGTAAAACAGCTCCCATATATATGTATTTCATCTTTATATTTAGCTGACTGCCTGAAGTTCAGCCTGCGGTATTAGCAGTTGTGAGTTTTATGAAGACAAGTAATTACAATATGAACATAGAGAGCCTTTAAATAGAAATTACTACATGATGGTTTCCACCTCCCCCCCAACCCAGGTATTCTCCCTTTAAATGTTTTAGATACATAAGTCTGCCATTTATTTTCATAGCTATGCTTTTTTCCCAAAGTCTTAAAATAAAAATTTCTAAATGTAGTAGTGATTTTATGCATAAGTATAAATACTTGTAGAATTGCAATGTACAGAGAAATAGTAAGGCCGTGTACAGAGAAAAAACAATTTCAAGGATAAGCAAAAAAGAAACTTTTTTTTCCCCCTCAAAAGCAATTTAACTTGTAATGTGCACCAATTTCCTCTTTAACATTCCCAATGCCCCTACTGAGGTGAAAATTCTTGTGAAATACAGATTCCCTAAAAATCGTTACTCTAAATCAGGGGAACTGACACAAGTCATTTTGTATTTGACACCTGGAATAAGTACTTTTTCAAGAAACATAAACTGCTGTATGTTTGTCTAAAAAATACTAAAATGCAGCTACTTGTATTTGGATAATATATTGTTTAATATAATGCCACTTTATAGCAACTTATATTTTATTATAAATATATATATATATTGTACTACTTCATATGCCATAGCAGCAAACATCATAAAGGTATAGTGTTGCAGTAAAAAGACAGCATGAAATGTATTGCTAAAAGCCATGCCACTCATACAACATGACTTATTAACTTATATAGAGTAAAGAATCTTACCAAAAATTCAACATTTGCCCACTCAGAATTAATAACTGATTTAAATTATCTAGCAAAACAACGGAATGTTTTCCCTGAAGGCAAATATGCTGTTAACATTTCAAGGGAAGTTGTGCTTTGCAAGGAGGAGCTTATCGAATGTGGTGAAATTGCACTTTGCAAAAAATACCCAATCATATGCAAGGAAAATAATAATAAAAAATATTGTAGCTGATTGGTTGATAGAGTCAGCAGGGCTATACCTCATTCACTAAGTTCTGGGGCAAATACCCTTTGCAAACTTCCCCTGAAAAGAGAAGAGTTTATTTGCTAACACCAGGTTGTCTAGTCTATGCCTCTTGTCCTATTGGAATCTTTTTTTTTTTTTTTTTTTTAAGTAAAAAAAAGGGCATGGCAGTTAAAAGAATAGTGTACAAGCTCAACACACTGGCTAGTATCCCTATGGCAAGTGTGGTGTGGCCCCTGCAATGCTGATTGCAGACAACATTAAAGCCAAACTCAAGGTTTCGCAGGCTCCCCAATTACAGCATTCACCACAGCATTTAAACAAATCTATATGCTTCCTTTTTTCCAAGTGTCCAATTATGTCACAAATCTTTGCCCTCTATTCCTGTGCCCACAGCTTCTGAGCCTTGGCCTCACATGGAATGGGTTGAATAATGCTGGGATCCTAGTAAAGATCCCCACCCCAAGTACAGCTTTCCCACATCCATGAATTTCACTTACCAGACCAAGCAGTTCATAGTGAAAAAAGACCTCCCTTAGATGTGTGCTCCCCTTCCCCCACAGGAGCTGCTGATTGCCACAGGTTCTTCTTCTCAAGATTAGCACCTTATTTTCTCTTTACTCCTAGTGAAATCTTTTGATTAGTTCCAAAGATTCTCAGAAAAAATAGGCCCCCACAGTTCTGACTTAGTTGGAGCCTCGATGAACGTATGTAAACTTCAGCTGGGCTGCCTAGAAGGGAAGCAGCCTTTCAGGTTGGAAACATCTCCTACTAGACAATACAAGAATGCTCTCCGTCTCAGGCTCAGTTGTGCTTTGCAAGGAGGAGCTTATCGAATGTGGTGAAATTGCACTTTGCAAAAAATACACAATCATATGCAAGGAAAATAATAATAAAAAATATTGTAGCTGATTGGTTGATTGTAATTGCAGCTGTGTCACTGCCCTTTCGCACCTGGCAGCTCTGCAAGATCTCCTCATCTTATTTGGTTGTAACACCTTATTTTCTCTTTACTCCTAGTGAAATCTCTTGATTAGTTCCAAAGAATTTCAGAAAAAAATAGGCCCCCACAGTTCTGGCTTAGTTGGGGCCTCGATGAACATATGTAAACTATAGCTGGGCTGCCCAGAAGGGCAGCAACCTTTCAGGCTGGAAACATCTCCTACTAGACAATACAAGAATGCTCTCTGGCTCAGGCTGTTTATGGACGTCATATGGCGGGCACAGCCGATGAGTGATCACTACACTGGCCCACTACCTGTGTCACGTGATCGCTGTGATCAGTGACCAATCACAGCAGATCACATGACAATTGTAAACAATGGATGACTTCCTTTCATGCCATCCATTGTATACAATTGTGTTGCTAGCTGTGATTTTTCACAGTGATTACATGATACAGACAGGGCCAATCACAGCCCATCTGTACCATGTGGTTAGCTTTAGCCAATCACAGCTAATCACAACAAAAGACACTCAATGAATCAGTTTCATTCAGTAAAATGGTTGCTTTTACTAATGAAATTCATTGGTAAAAGCAATCATAATGTGTAAAAAAATAAATCTGGATCACTTCCCAGAGTAGTACACAGTGTTTTTATGGTATCATAAAAAAAAAGTTAAAAATAAAAGAAAAAAAATTAATAAAAAAAAAAAAAATTAAAATGTGTTTTTTTTCTTTTTTTTAAAAAATACTGTCACCAGTCCTGATCATTGCCATACCAGCAATATGATAACACTGTACTGCACTGGTGACAATATGTAAAAAGAAAAAAATTGTGACAAAAAATTACAACTTCAAAAAACTCACCATGCCTCTTACTAAATACCATGGACTAGCTACTTTCTAAAGTATTTGGAGGATATTTGTTCTGTCCTGGGGTTTTCAGGCCTCAAGAAATTAGATTGGCTGTCAGTACATCAAGACTGATCAATTTTTCAGATATATACCGTAGCTTGTAGACTTTCCTACAGACTAAATAATATACAATAATTTGTATTATTTTCACCAAAGAAATTTAGCAGAATATATTTAGACCTAAATTTATGAAGAAAGGTTACCGGTACTTATTTGCAAAATTTTATAATGGAAACAAGGAAAAGCACATTTCTTTTCAAAATGTTTGGCTTTGTTTTGCTTATTTAAAAAAAAACTATGGTGATTAAATACCATCAAATGACAACTCTATTTGTGTATAAAAATTTAAAACATTTCATATGGGTACAGTGTTGCATGAAAATTGGCCTGGCTAGAAAGGGGGGTACAAGTGCCCGGTATTGAAGTGGTTAAGCAGCAAACTTTGATATGCTTCTTCATTGCTTGTATTTTTTTGCATGAATTTAATCAGAGCACACTTACAAAATGAGTCATGAAATACCTTTGTTTATTAATATGAAAAGTGACGTCACCAGTCAACAAGTATATTGTTTATCATCAATACTTACAGTAAATACAAGGACATATTTTAAAGCTGAATTCACAACAGCATTTATATAAATGTCACAACAAATATGAAGTATGCACCAAATGCATTTGTTGTTAACCCAAAAATTATTTTGTAATAGTAGCATCCTTGCTACAAAGGGACAGGTACAAGATCAGTCACTCTGCACAAGGATAGAGAGCAGCAGCAAAACTCTGTACAGAGGAAAGGTGCAGGAGTTGTTCTATGCTTTATTACTGCACAGAACAGGTAAGAATGCAAAAAGGACACCAATAAGAATCTCTTGTGCCAAAATTGTTTTAGGATTGCTTTACACATTTCAGTATCCGTTGTTTGCTACATATGGAGGGATATGTAGTCATCAATTTATTAATCCTAAATTGATGCAAACAAGATGTTGTGCTTAGTCTAAACATTTTTTCTTAATCAAGACAAAAGCATATATTTTTCTTTATAGGCAATAAAATAAATGTGTTACCCTGTCTTTTTAATATGAATGGCTTTGAAAAGGTTTGGTATAGGATATTGCTTTATTTTATGTCATGGACTAGTTAAGTTCAGCGCTATAAAGTACTGGGAATAACCCAGGACTCTCAAGTGTGACTCTAGATAGATGGAAATATTTGAAAATTACAGTGTCCTAGAAATTATTCCTGTAATGCAGCATGCATGTTAGCACAGTGACAACCTGCATAATATTTACAGAAATAACCACAGTCAAAGCTTGAAGTAATAATCAACATGGAAAAGTGATATATTGTGATCTAGAAAGAGAAAAGACCATTCATCTTCCTTCCAAGGTGCCAAACTACTACTTTTATAAGTAAGTAGTTGTTTACACTTTAATGCAATGTATTTACTGTTTATTATACCATACTAAATAATATAACCATATAGGTTATGGAAACAAGGGGAAAAAAAAGCCCTCCAACTAAATCATTGCATTGTATCAGTTCACACATAAATAGCCTTCAATTTAAGACATAATTGGCAGCCATGATATTTTGATAAAATAAATTAGGTGTACATAAAAAAATAAAAATAAATTAATTGTACATAAGAAAATGAATATTTTAAATTTACCTCACACCAATGGTCACAGATCAAAGTCTTTCTTCATGAGCACTTTGCTCCATCTTCTAACCCAGGTAAGCACCCTTCTCTTCATTGGGCCACTCATATCCTGTTGTATATCTCTAGACTCTATCTTAGCTCAGGGCTATCTGTTTTTCAGGTTCTAACTCTCTCTGAGTGATTTGACTATGTATACAACATTGCCAGCTCAGCTGCATACCCTGACTCAGACCTGGATTAACCCTAGTCCATGACACTTTGTGTTCAATTACTACACTTGCCCATAAATAAATGGAATGAATATGGACTGACACTAATGTATACTACTGCACTAGCTGAAGAGCTCAACACACGCCTCATCTCCTTTGCTGCAAACTGGGATGGTTTGCCATTTCCCCACATGGATTCCACAAGGGGGGAGGGCAGGGGCAGACTGACCATTCGAGCACTCAGGCACTGCCCGAGGGCCCGGGGTCAGTAGGAGGCCCCATGAAATGCCCCTGGTACCTTTTATGGGCTTTTTTCGGTGTGCTTTGAGTGTGGGCAAGGACACAGGGGCCCCATGATCCCCTATTGCCCGGGGGCCCCATAAGTTGTCAGTCTGCCCCTGGAGGAGGGTATCCTGATAAACTGATATACATACCATAACTGATTCAAAGTCAAAAGACCACCAGTGCTAAAATCTTCATGCTCCGCAGAATCTCTTCTGTCACTAGTGGAGGTGCAGCCCTATGAAGACAGGGAAATCTTAGCACTGACAAGAAAAAACACAACAGGGCTTTTCTGGTTGCCTTGGCTCTGAGGAAGAGAGTGCGGCTCCCAAAATGCGTCAACTATTATAACTGGTAACCTGTTCTACAGGGCCCCTGCTACCTAGGACTGATTCACTTGGCTACATGTCTGTTTTCGTGATCCTTTTGTGTGAGTATGCACTTGTAAGTTTTGTCATAATAAAGCATTTGATTCCATGGTAATGCACAAGTAGAGTGCGCCTTGTTGTGTTTTTTCATATCAATATTGATATATATATATATTTATATATATATATATATCAGTAATCCGGATATGACCAGAGATGTGTGGACTGACACAGGGAATATCAGGCTTCAGGAGCAATGTAAATATAATTTATTTGTGAGACGCACCAGTATACAAAAGCACAGTGCAAGCAACAACCAAATAACAAACACCTTCACCCAATATATACATGTGCGGAACAAAAGAGTAGTCAGGGCTAGATGGGGTCATAAACAGTTGATCAAGCATGGGGCACAAAGAGGCAGACAGGACACAGGAATAGGTAACAGGGAGCAGGTAACAGGGAGCAGGGAGCAGGTAACAGGGAGCAGTTTTAGGAAAACAGGATAACAGGATATCACAGGCTCAAGGGAACAAACACCAAGGCACTGGTTACAGGCCTAATTGCTGTTTAACCACTAGCTTACAGTGCACTTACACCGCCTTCCTGCCGAGGCCAATTTCCAGCTTTCAGCGCTTTCACACTTTGAATGACAATTGCGCGGTCATGCAACACTGTACCCATATGAAATTTTTATCTTTTTTTGTGACAGATAGAGCTTTATTTTGGTGGTATTTAATCACCTCTAGTTTTTTATTTTTTCTTAAACAAACCAAAAACCACTGAAATGTTTGAAAAAAAATGTTTTTTTTCTTAGTTTTTGTTATAACATTTTGAAAATAAGTGATTTTTCTCCTTCACTGATGTGCGCTAATGAGGCTGCAGTGATGGGCACTGATAGGCTTCACTGATGGACACTGATATGTGGCACTGATGAGCACTGATGAGGAGGCGCTGGTAGGTGGCACTGATGGGCATTGACAGGCATCACTAGTGGGCACTGAAAGGCAGCACTCATATATGGCACTGATAGGCAGCACTGATAGGCGGCACTGACTGGCACTGTCAGGTGGCACTGATAGGCAGCACTGATGTGCACTGATAGGCGGCACTGATGTACACTGATAGGTGACACTGAAAGGCAGCTCAGATGGGCACTGATATGTGGCATTGATGTGCACTGGTAGGCACTGATATGTGGAATTGATGTGGCACTGATGGGCACCAGCAGGTGGCATGGATAAGCACTGACAACTGGCACTGATGGACACTGACAGGTGGCACTGCTGTGGCTACAGAGATCATCAGGGCACACTCATCATCAGGGATGATGATTACTGGCTCTGCTCTCCTCTCGAGCTGTCAGCGGTCAGCGTGACAGCTCGTGAGGAGAGAAATGCCGATAACCGGCATTTCCCTATTTACATGCGATCAGCTCTGGTTGGACACAGCTGATCACATGACAGAGCAGACATCTTCGGCTCTTTCCATTAATCGGTGATCTGCTGTGTCTGAGGGACACAGCGCACCACCGATCACCACGCTGCGCGCTCCCGGAGCCGCACATGCGCGGTTAGAATGGGATGAAGTCATATGACTTCCTCCCAGAACAAGAGAACCACCTTGCGCCCGTCATTACATTGTATGGTGGGCGGGAGGCAGTTAAGTACACCTCCTGCAATCACCTCAGGTGATGGCTTGATTGCAGGAGGTGAGATCCTGGCTGCTGAAACACACTCGCTGGTAAGTCCCGGTAGTGCAGCCCATAGAGCAGGTGAGCCACAGCACCACCAGCGGTGAGCCCTTTCCTGACAATATATATATATATATATATATATATATATATATATATAATATATATATATACACAGTTGTGCTCAAAAGTTTACATACCCTGGCAGAAATTGGAAAATTTTGGCATTGATATAGAAAATATGACTGATCATGCCAAATAATGCTCTTTTATTTAAGAATGATGATCATATGAAGCCATTTATTATCAAATAGTTGAAAAACCATAATGATAACAGAAATCACCCAAATGGCCCTGATCAAAAGTTTACATACCCTGGAATGTACAGACACACAAAGTGACACACACAGGTTATAATGCCAATTAGAGGTTAATGTCCCACATCTGTGGCTTTTTAAATTGCAATTACTGTCAGTGTATAACTAGTCAATGAGTTTGTTAGCTCTTATGTGGAAGCACTGACTAGGCTAGATGCTAGATATGAAGCCATGGGGATCAGTCAAAAGTCCTGCGTAACAAGGTAATGGAACTTTATAAAGATGGAAAAGGACATAAAAAGATGTCCAAAGCCTTGACTATGCCAATCAGTACTGTTAAATCACCTATTAAGAAGTGGAAAGTTCGGGGATCTCTTGATAACAAGCTAAGGTCAGGTAGACCAAGAAAGATTGCAGCCATAACTGATTGAAGAATTGTCCGGGATTCAAATAAAAACCCACAGGCAACCTCAAAAGAAATACAGGCTGCTCTGGAAAAAGATGGTGTGGTTGTTTTTAAGGAGTACAATAAGGTTACACTTGAACAAAATTAGCTGTTTGGTCGAGGTGCCAGAAAGAAGCTCATACAGTACAGAATCGCCAAACTACTATGCATTATGGAATTCCTTCAAAATATATTTCTATTTAACCCCTCTATTCTGGACAGTCGGACCTCATAAATGTCTCAATGCTGGATGACCTATTTCACTTTAGGCATCTGACAGATCACAGAACTAAAAGATTGTGTTCTTTCACAGAGCTTCATAATAAATCTGATCTACCGAAATGAACATTTTAGGGATAATTACCTGTAGAACCCTACAATTCTCCAAATTAACCCCATTTGAAGAAAGATGCTGGGTGGGCTCCTCCTACAAACATTTGATTTCTGATATTTATCAACTACTGAATGAACTCACCTTACATTGCCCATTTAAACATTACTACATGACGAAATGAGAGAAAATTCTGATAGAGGAGTTGCCTTTGGAAATTGTGCCAATGGTCTCAGGCTTTTAAGAGCTCAATATGTACTGTAGGTTATACAAAGAAAAGCAATACAAAATACTTTTCATTGGTACCAAACCCCAGAACTCCTACATAACATAAACCCTACGGTTACTATGCTATGCTGGTGTTGATAGAAAGCTTTTGGCTCTATCCAGCATACTGTATACATTTGTTATACCCCTCTTTAAACTCTTTTGAGATGTGATTCACACCATGATCCAAAATGTGATCCCGTTTTCTTTCAAAACCTAATTTTTTGGCTAAACAAGCCATAAACTACTTACATACACATTCATGGTGGCAAAATGTTTAGTAGCCCTCAAATAAAAATGCAATTAATCCACATCTCTTGTAGAACTACATACAAGGATATAGGATGTTAAAGTAATGAAAAACTTTAAAACCTGCCTTCATAATACATTGGATAAATATAATAAGGTCTGGGAGTTGTGGTACCTCATGTAAAATATGATTTGACTAGGTTATCCAATCCACCTTTACCTGCTATCTATATTCAATCTTAAAGCTGTAGGACTAGATAATTGGAGTGGCTGAAGTGCACTGGCATCATCCTTCTCTAACTTTCCTTTTCTTCCCCATGAACTTTACTTACGTTCTTACTCTGCTTGTTCGACTACCTCAAGCGTCTACATCCTTACATCTACACCTATTAGCATTTCTTAGCTTTATGTGTGAAGAACAAGATTGAACACAAAATACTAATATTACCCATGCCAACTACTTTTGTACTGGAACACAACTTTCATTCTTCAAGATAAACACCCTTGTACAGCCTTAATGTTAATCTGCTGTCTGCATAATCTTTTCCAAATTCTTGAACTACTCTTGAGAGTTATCACACTATGATGTACTGACTGCAAATATACAATGAATATTATGCCATATTGTTTGACTCTTTGTTATCTCTTTGTGCTTTGGAAATGCTTATAAACTAGAAAAGTCAGTTAAACAAAACATTTCACTTTTTTTTTCCTGTGAGGTTTGAAGGCACGTGCACTCAACATCAATTGAATTTATAGGTATATTAGGTTATAGGTAATTATAGTCGAAATCACCACAAGGCTTCTTATATGTGCA